TTTAAAGGTTAAAATGATAAACTTTATGCTACACATGCTGTACTACGAAAAAAAAAAAAAGAAAAGGAAAAGAAATCCTTGCACATTTAATCCCATCTGCATCTCGGAGGACTTGGACACACACTCCTGTTTAATCAGCTTCTCTTCCTAGTCACTCTGTCACTACCTGTTTTCTGTAAAATACTTGCCACTAACTGAAATAAATTTGTTGGCCTTTTTATTATAAGAGTCCCCTCACTAAAATGCAAGTTCCAAAAATGCAGAAACCTCATCTATCCTGTTCAGTGCCTGATCTCTAGCAACTAAAATAGCTGTCTTGCACACGGGTACTTAATACATGTTTTCTTAAATTGTATAATGGGTAGAAGGAAAGGAGTAAAAATGATACATTTTTGGGTCGAGTAACTAAGACTATAAAGAAAAAGAGAATATGCAGACTAAAAACAATAGTAATGGAAAAATTAGGTAATAATCTAAGATTTCTTGAACATTTGCCATTGCCAACTTTTCAATTTCAGGAGCTCTGGCATCACAAAAGACATTTATCTTATGGTTGGGGGTCAATCATGCCTTTAAAATAGAGAAAGCATGAAAAGACAAGAAGGGAAACAGATTTTCTCTATAAAAGCATTAAGTTACTTTTTTAAAAATAATTTTTAGTTTTTGATGAACCTTTATTTATTCATATGTGGCGCTAAGAATCGAACCCAGTGCCTCACAAAATGCTAGGCAAGCGTGCTACCACTGAGCTACAACCCCTGCCCCAAGCTACATTTTTAATTACTATTTTTAGTTGTAGATGGAATGTGGTGCTGAGGATCAAACCCAGTGCTTCACACATGTTAGGCAAGCGCTCAACCACTGAGCTACAACCCCAGCCTCTACAAGCTACTTCTTTAATGCATAATAAATACTGAGCAGGAAAATAACTGCATCCTTCAGAAACCCTATAAAGATCTCTTTTCACATCCTTTAAATCTCAAAGGTTCAAAGTTACAAAGTTCTCTTCAAACCAGAAAACTAGCTGGATTCAGCTCACAGACATGGTTTGTCCTGCACAATTCAGAAGGGAAAACTGCCGATCGAATGGTGAAACATTGTAGGCATTCTCATTAAAATAAGAAAGGGGAAAAAAATGGTCTTCATGGTATATAATGTTGTTCTTAAAATGCAAGTCAAGTCATTCAAACAAATGAATGGGCATAAATATTAAAAAGCAGATAATTTTTTTCATTATTTACCAATGAGATCAACAGGAACACCACTGAAAATAGGCCAGTTAGGTTTGTTACAAATCAGTGACTTGACTTTATAAAAATAGAGAAGCTAGTTACAAAATACAAAATAACAAACCACTCACAACAGACGTAAAAAGATTTAATAGCTACTATCAAGTTCAATAAGAGAAATGCAGGACCTACATGAAAACAATTATAATGAGACTGATTATGCAAATTTATTTTGTTTTTTTGTTTTTTTAATTATTACTTTTTTTTTTTTAGTTGTCAATGAACCCTTATTTTTTTTACACGTGGTGCCAAGAATCAAACCCAGTGCCTCACACATGCTAGGCAAGTGCTCTACCAATAAGCTACAACCCGAGTTACTATTTTTTATTTTGAGACAGAGTCTCAATAAGTTGCTTAGGGCCTCTCTAAATTGCTGAGTCTGGCTTTAAACTCATGATCCTCCTATCTTGCCTCCTGAGCCACTGAGATTACAGGTTGAGTGCCACTGAACCCAACAAATTTCAATTTTTAAAAAACAGAATTAGTCAGCAAGCTATTTACCCTCATCTTCCAAGATTCTGTCATCCATAACTCACCAGAATACTAGATCTGTTTGTAGTTCAGTGTTAAATAGCTCAGAATTTCTTCTTTTCTCAGATCCCAAGTAAATCTAGATACCCTCTGAATACAGAGGAAGAACAGGAAGTTTCCTTATTGAATGGTTCTATGATGACATGATAAAGTATTTCCTACTATTTGCTAGAATCACTCTGGTTACTCCTTTGGTTGCATCTAAGTCTCTGGATTAAGAATGGTTTTATATGTAGTGCGAAGAGTATAAAACTCTTGAATGAATCTTAAATGTCCCCCAATGATTTATGTGTTGAAACACTTGGTCCCCAGCTAATGGTGCTATTAGGAGGTGGTGGAACCTTTAGAAGGAGGTGGAACCTTTAGGAGGTGAGGCCTAGTGAAAAGAAGAAAGATCACTGGAGGTGCAACTCAGAATGGGACATTGGGACCCCAGACCCTTTCCCCCCCTACCCCTCTGTTTCCTGGCCACCATGAAGTGAGCAACCTCCTCCTACACACATTCCTGCCACCATGGTACTAACTTGCCACAGGCCCAAAAGCAACTGGGTCAACCATAGACTGAAACCTCTGAAATTGTGAGTCAAAATAAACCTTTCCTCCTTTATATTGATTTATCTCAAGTTTTGATACAGCAATGGAAAGCTGACAACAACTCAGGAACCTAGATCCAAAGATGCTCTTTCTATTCCTTAAGCTAAACAGATATCCACAGAAACACTAACCTGTTGAGAGGAATTGGACAAGAACACAAGGGGATTCAGAGTCATCCTTCAATTCATTTTGCTCTAGACATTATTTCACATGTTATTAAGAGGAATGAAGATACAGAACAATGAAGTTTAGGACAGTCAGATTCAGAAAGTCAAATGTAAATCACTTTATGAGAGAGGTCTGCCTAGGATACATGTCTCTTCTGAAAAGGTAAAATGAACTGAGGTGCACAGATAGCACCATGATGGCACTTAGATAGACTTAAACATGGGTTGACTTTTCTCCGCTAAGGCTTAGTTTGAATAAAGCAAGTCTTTGTTCCTTCTGAATATAAATTTGACCTGAAAAGACTTAAAGAGTAGAGAAGTAATTGATGATCAAAACCACCAAGGGGAAAATTTCAAGACTAAGTAATATTTAAAATATTTTCAAAATATTCCAGGAAATTAGAGAATATAAAGCCTTATATTAACCAAAAGCTAAAGCAATTCTCAGAACTATGGGAAAACATTATGGAAAACAAAACGTATCATGGATACTCAGTGACAATGAAGACAAATTTCCATCTTTAAGTGAGATGACTGGTAAATAGCAAAGGAAAGTGAAATTCACTTTGATACAAAAAAAATCTGAGTTCAAAAAAAATCTGCCCCTGGCTAGCTATATAATCTTTGTCATACTACTTAAACTCTCTAAAATTGTTTACAGTCTATATGCTGGGATAATAATAGTACCTATCCTATAAAATTATCATAAGGATTATATAAGAGTACCTAGCAGAGCATGAGGCATAATGGTTGTTATTATTTTCTAAAGAAGTATGTATACATACAAGACAACATAAGGCTATACACCTTTTCTTATAACCTAAAAAGTAAATGAAATCATCGAGGACAAGAAAGGCATAAAATCAAGTGTCCCTTCAAAACTTTGAAGTAGAGAAATAAAGGACTAATTTTTTAATATGAAATTTATGAAAGCCAAGAATTCTATATACTCCCCTCTATTATGAATGAATGAGGTTTGGGGAGCTAGAAGTTTTAGCTTTCTAAATTCTAATACCAGACATTCTGCTTTTGGAAAAAAATAAATCTCTAGGGGCTGGGGTTGCGGCTCAGTGGTAGAGCGCTCACCTGGCATGTGTGAGGCATTAGGTTAGGAAGGAAGGAAAGAAAGAAGGAAGGAAGGAATGTGTCCATCTACAACCAAAAAAAAAAAAAAATGTTGATTTAAAAAAAAAAGAAAAAGAAATCTCTGTCACACTATTGATTTCTATTTCTTTATGAACTTAATGATTTTCTCATTTGTCTTAAGTTTTCTAAAATCCCTAAGTATTAGTCATCAAAAAATACACATATAACACCTCTTTAAGTCTCCTTATCAACACAAACTGGGTGGAGTTCAATATGCTATGAAGTGTCTACTGCTCTAGTCATGACTGTTGTTAATTAAGGCCAGTAGACAGAGGGCATTTGATTGCTGGGCAAGTTTGAATGCAGTTGTCAAACTTGAGGGCTGATTGTTTTTCATTATTAAAGTAGCCTATGGTTTCTGAATTTATCTTTGTTTATAAATTTTAATGCTTGGAAAATAATAATTTATCATCAAACTATTTCACAAAATCTGTCATCAGTAAAAGTATAATAATCAAGACAGATACAATGGCTCATGCCTGTGATGCCAGCTATTTAGGAAGCTGAAGTAGAAGGATTGCAAATTTGAGCCAGCTTGGCAATTCAGCAAGACCTTGTCTCAAAATAAGAAATAAAAAGGTCTGAGGAGGACTTGGGGATATGGCTCAGTGGTAGAGCACCCTGCCCCATCCCCACCCACTCCCCACCCTCCCCACCCACCCATTCTCTGTGTCACAGATAGAAAAAAGTCCTTATAAGAAGAAATTTAGAAACACTGGAGAAACACCACGGATGCCTCCACACTGACAAGACTGAGTGAAGACAACACAAGAAGATGGCCCACCTGTAACCGGTGAGAAAGGCTCAGGAGAAACTAAACTACTGACTGATACCTTGATCTTGGACTTATAGCCTTCAGAACTTATTTAGTCTGTGCTATTTTATTACAGAACCCCAAACAAATTAATACTCTGTCCAATAAACACTTTCAGAATACCTTAAATATTCTAGAATGTTCCAGGTAATATAAACACAAAGATGAATAAGCTATAGACCTGTCTTAACTTTTTTTTTTTTTTTTTTTTTTTTGTGGGGCTGGGAATTGAACCGAGGGCATTGTGCATGTGAGGCAAGCACTCTACCAAGTGAGCTACATCGCCAGCCCTATCTTAACTTCTTAAAGTTAAATAGTCTAGCAATTAGGGAAACATATCAGTAGGTAATTAAAATACACTAGATACTAAGTGTTATGATATACGCACTATAACAAAACAAACAGGAGTAGAACCTAATTGTATAATTTGTTATATATGACAGCAGAATACATTTCAAAAAAAATATGGAATGCTTCACAAATTTGCGTGTCATCCTTGAGCAGGAGCCATGCTAATCTTCTATTGTTCCAACTCTAGTATATGTGCTGCCGAAGCGAGCAACTAATCTAATTTTGAAGGTGAAATTTTACAAAAAGGTTTCCAGAAAGAAAAAAAGAACAAAATGAAATGGGAAGAAGGAACACTTGATTAGCCTATTCTCTGTGGCAGAGGTTCACTGAAGAAACCATACACTTAATGATGAAGTACACATAAAAATGTATAAAACAAGTTACCTGGAACACTAAAAGATAAAGATAAAACCTGATGATCAGAGAAACAATCTGCAATTCTTCATGATGTAAGTTTTTGTTTTTAAAAATAACTGTTTTCATAAAACATTTAAATCTCATGGGTTTATTTTTTAATTTCAAAAATGATATCTTTTTTTAAAATGATATTTCTTAAAAGACAAACATTAACAATGCTAACCTTGTCTAGAAATGCATAGTTAGCAATATCAAGTAATATATTAATTAAAAATTAATTATAACATGTATTCCAAAATTTGTTTTTAGACATGATATCATGTAAGGGAACAAATGGAAGGTTCACTATATTCTCAAATTATACAATGCTGAAAAAGGGCTGAATATAAGCTGAATAACAAAATGAGAACATGAAAATAATCATAAAGGCTTAGAATAATCAATAAAACTATTTTAAAATAAAAATGTAAATATAAAGCCCTACAACTAAGTTCTGCCCCCCCCCCCAAACTCTGTGTCACAGACAGAAAAAGGGAGGGAGGACACACATAATAGGGGGTGGGGTTTCTGGATTTGCCCTATAACTAAGTTCTCCCCGCCACACATAACTCTCTGTGACAGACGGAAAAAGGGAAAGAGGACACACATCATATGGGGGGGGGGGGTTTCCTGGGTTTTTTGTTTGTTTGTTCACTGAATATCAATTTGCCTAGTCTCAAAGCATCCAGTAATATTATGAGACACTCAAAAATGCTCCAACTCTGGTACAGTTCTAATAGACTGATTCATGTGTAATAAGAAACAAAACAATATAATTCTACTTTCTCCTGTCCTTTATGTTATCATCATACATTTTACTTTTACATGTCATTATCTCCAAAGCATTTCTATGTTCATATTCTGGGAGCATAATCCTTGTGAAAGTGAGGCAAGATCCTAAGAGAACTAACTTTATCCCATTCTGCTTTTTACAGAAGTGACCAGAGATGATGATTTTATAAAGAATCTTTAAAATTTGATGAGAAAGAAAACTTTGATATTTGAATCTGAAAAAGGTGATCAGATGTTAGCAGACCATTTCTCAAAGGGGGGGAGGGGTACACAAAAAATGTTCAGTATCTTTAATCATCAGAGGAATGTGAAATTAATACCATAGTAAGATACCACTACAGGGCTGGGATATGGCTCAAGCGGTAGCGCGCTCGCCTGGCATGCATGCGGCCTGGGTTCGATCCTCAGCACCACATACAAACAAAGATGTTGTGTCCGCTGAAAACTAAAAAATAAATATAAAAATTCTTTAAAAAAAAAAAAAAAAAAAAAAGATACCACTACATACCCAACAAAAGGCTAAAAGTAAAAATTTTAGACCAAAAACCACTAGATGTTGGCAAATACATGTCTTAATTAGAACTCCACACAAAGCTCTTTGGCAGCTTCTAATAAAGTTAATTTTACATAAATCTAATCTAGTATCCAGTAAATTCATGCCAAGGTCTGAAAATATGTCTACAAAAAAAATCTATATATTTGTTTTATTTTGATTTCTTTTTATGGAGCTGACTGAACTGAGGCCTCACACATGCTAGGCAAGTGCTACAGCACCAAGTTACATCCCCAGCAAGACTTGTATATGAATTTATAGCTTTACTCATGACAGCCAAAACTGAAGGAAAAATAATCCTCAGCAAGTGACTGGATAAACAAATAGTAATGATAAAGAACTACTGATACATGTTATAATATGTATGGAACCTCAAAAACAAGAAATTAGAGACAGTTGTGCATGCATGCCTGTAATCATAGCCACTTGGGGGTCTGAGGCAGGATTACAAGTTCAAGGCCAGTCTCAGCAACTTAGCAAGGCCATAAGCAGTTTAGTGAGACCCTGTCTCAAAATAAAATAAAAAATTTAAAAAGGGCTGGGGATGTGATTCAGTGTAAAGCAACTCTGGATTCAATCTCCAGTACCAAAAAAAAAAAAAAAAAAAAAAGCCAAACCTAAACTAGGGGAAAAAGAAAATAAAACAATGGTTGTATCAATAAGGGATAGGGGAAAAGATTGATAAGGAAGGAGAATGAGGGAACTTTTTGAGGTGATGATTATGGTCAATTTTCTTCATTAGAATCTAGATAACACAACTGACCAAATATATTGTGTCCAGGTATGAACATGTAACAATGAATCCAAAAATGCACCTATAAAAAAATATGGAGGGCTGGGGTTGTAGCTCGGTAGTAAAGCACTTGATTAAATAAAGGTATTATGTCCATCTACAACTAAAAATATTAAAAATATATACAGAAAAAAAATAATCTGAGTAACACAAATGCATGCATTTAGCAAAACAACAAATGGTACACTTAATGTGTACATTTCACTGAATGTAAAATTTACTTCAAAACCAAAGAATTATGAACAAATATCCAACTCCACTTAATGAACTAAAGTTATAGTTTTTGCAGGTAAAATGCATTGATGTCCACCAATTATCTATTTATTTTTATGTGGTGCTAAGGATCGAACCCAGCTCCTCGCACGTACTAGGTGAGCGCTCTATCGCTGAGCCACAACCCCAGCCACCTAAAATTTATTTTAAAATCAATTTTTAAAAGGCCTGATTGATGGATGGTTAGAGGAACGTAGATGACTAAAAATGTAATAAAGCAAAAAAGAGCAAATTATTACTTGTAGAATGTGGGTGGGAGGGAAACAAGCATCCACTGCAAATTTCTTTCAATTTTTCTAGTGTTTGCAATATTTCATAATAAAATGCTAGAGGGAAAATACTTGATGAAAAAAAGATGACTTATAAGAGCAAAAGTATAAGATTCTATATATATATAAAGTTTATTTTTATTTATTCAGATATTGGGGCCTTAACTGAAGGGCACTTTACCATGAGATACATCACCAACCCCCCCATCCCCTTTTATTAATGACTAGCATTTATAGTTTTAAAACTAATCTATTGTATCAAAAATCAGATCAGTGGTTGCCTGGGAATGGAGGAAATGATATCAAAGAACAAAAAACAACTTTCTAGGGTAATGGAAAGTTCTACTTCCTAAATATGGTGGTTCATTACATGGATGCATACATACATTTGTCAAAACTCACCAAACTGCACAGTAAATAGGTGCGTCATAATTTATATAAATTATGCATCAATTTAGTTGATTTTTTTAAAAGAGAGAGAGAGAATTTTTTAATATTTATTTTTAGTTTTCGGTGGACACAACCTCTTTATTTTTATGTGGTGCTGAGGATGGAACCCAGCACTCCACGCATGCCAGGCGAGCGCGCTACCGCTTGAACCACATCCCCAGCCCAATTTAGTTGATTTTTAAATAAATTCACTACAGAAAATCAGGAATGTAGAGAAAAGCACAAAAAAAATTTAAATTCCCCCTAATTTTACCATCCAAATAAAAAATCACCAAGTTTTTTTTTGGGGGGGTGGGGGGGTGGGAGGTGTTACCGGGAATTTAACTAAGAGGCACTTAGCCACTGAGCCAAATCTCCAGCCCTATTTTGTATTTTATTTAGAGAAGGGTCTCACTGAGTTGCTTTGCGCCTTGCTTTTGCTGAGGCTGACTTTGAACTCACGATCCTTCTGCCTCAGCCTCCCACTTTTCTTTTTCTTTTCCTTTTTTTTTTTTGATATGAGGGATTAAGCCCAGGGACACTTAATCACTAAGCCACATCACCAGCCCTTTTTATTTTTTCTTTTGAGACAGGGTCTCAAAGTTGCACAAGACCTCACCAAGTTGCTGGGCTGGTCTCAAACTCACAATCCTCTTGCCTCAGCCTCCCCAGTCACTGGTGGCGCATGCCCAGCTCTATTCTCTCTTTTGATAATGGCTATGTCCACTAAAAATAAATACTCTTCCCTGGATTAGAAAAGTAGCTCAATGGTACAGCACTTGCCCAGCATGCATAAAAGCCCTAGTGCCACTAAATAAATAAACCTTACTGTTTTCCTTAGAAAGTAACAGAGAAATAGTGAATTTCTGAATACTGGAATTCCTTACTCAGATAACTCAAAAACTTACTGATTTAAATCCCTACAATCCTATAGCTGTTGTGATGGTTACTAATCCTCTAAATTGATTTGCTGACAGATGGAAATATTTACTGAAAGGGGGTTATTGTAAAGAGCACACAAAATATATATGCACATGATAGCTTCTATTGTTTTTTTTTATATATATTTACTTTGTATTTACAGTTGGATACAATACCTTTATTTTATTTATTTATTTTTACGTGGTGCTAAGGTTCAAACCTAGGGCCTTGCACATGCTAGGCAAGTGCTCTACTGCTGAGCCACAACCCCAGCCCTCTATTGTTGCTTTTAAAGTTGAAGAGTTAATCAGTTTTTAGAAATAATCCAGGCCAAAAAAAAAGTCCACAAAGCTTCGTTCCCCTGAGTTTCTCCCCCTCCCCAAAGGGTAGACCTTCTATTCTCTAGAAACACCCACCTCAGATTAGTCTACCTTCTTCTTTTTTATTTTTAATGTTTATTTTTTAGTTGTAACTAGACACACAATATCTATATTTTATTTATTTTTATGTGGTGCTGAGGATCGAACCCAGGCCCTCGCACGTGCTAGGCAAATGCTCTACCTCTGAGCCACAACCTCAGCCCCTAGTCTACCTTCTTATTTGAAACATCAAATCCCTCTAGAAGACCAAACCCCTGAGTTGTTAAAGCCAACGCAAAGGTCAGAATAACAAAACAAAACAAGAAAACTGAATACCTGTCCTAATGTAGGCTCTACCTTGGGGAGCAAAACTGCCCAAGAAAACAATCTCTCTCGAAAGTACTATAACCTTATTTAGATAAAATC